AAAAAAACACAAAAAATTTGAAAAAACGATTAAATCTTTATTTGAGTCGATAGAACGGTCGATATAATTTAATGTTTAAAGATTATTTCATGTAAATGTTGGCCGCGGCTCCGCTTTAGATGGCCCATGCGCAAGGTCCAATTTTGGCACGCTCTCTCCAATATATCGGCCGGTATCTCACAAATAAATGCTTCAATATTGGCTTCCAGTGCGTCAATCGTTGCTGGTTTATCCCTGTAGACATTAGCCTTAACATGGCCCCACAAGAAATAGTCCAATGGCGTTAAATCACACGATCTAGGCGGCCAATTGACGGGCCCCAAACGTGAGATAAACTGTTCACAGAACTCGCCTCTCAATAGGGCCATTGTTTCGTGTGCGGTGTGGCATGTGGCACCGTCTTGTTGAAACCACATGTCAGCCAAGTCCAGCTCTTCCATTTTGGGCAAAAAAAGTTTGTTATCATCGCTCGGTAGCGCTCGCCATTCACAGTTACGTTCCGGCCATTGTCGTCTTTGAAGAAGTACGGCCCGATGATGCCACCGGCCCATAATCCACACCAAACAGTGATTTTTTCGGGATGCATTGGTAGCTCTTGCAATGCTTCTGGCTGGTGTTCACTCCAGATGCGGCAATTTTGCTTGTTACCGTACCCATTCAACCAGAAATGAGCTTCGTCGCTGAACACAATTTTTCGATAAAAATGTGGATCTTCCTCCAACTTTGCCAGCGCCCATTCACCAAATTGGAAACGTTGTGGGAGGTCGTGTGGCTTCAATTCTTGCACCAGCTATATCTTATAAGGTTTCACACCCAAATCCTGTCGCAAAATTTTCCACGTAGTGGAGTAACAGAGGCCCAATTGCTGCGAACGGCGGCGAATCGACATTTCACGGTCATCACTAACACTGGCGGATACACCCGCAATATTTTCTTCAGTCCTCACTCTACGTCTGCGTGTTGGTGGTTTAATGTCCAATAATGTAAACTGGGTTCGAAATTTAGTCACAAGCGTCCGAATAGCTCCCTCAGTAGGCCGACCAAATTGCCCATAAATTGGAAGCAGTGCTCGATGCACTCTCTTAACCGAGCAATAATTTTGATAGTAAAATTCAATAATTTGCAAGCGTTGTTCGTTCGTAAGTCGATTCATGGTTCAACTATAGTCCAAACTGAACAAGTTTGACAATGACACAAGACACGATTCACGCGTCATCTGTCTAAAACAGTGATGCCAAAAAGATACTAGCAAAAATTCACCCATTATAAGGGCTTAAAGAAACTTTGTTAATTTAATTTTAGAACTACCTAAGGTTAGAAGAACTGGAAAAAGCCTCATCGTGTAGATTGTTCCACTCTAGAGACATAGTAGCGGTCTTATCGACCAGTTCTGGTTGTACGAAGTTCGACACGGTTAGGATGAGAGGCCCAAGTCGGGGGGTCTGTCTGGCAGAGCAGAGCCCGTTGGCATAGCGGTAGAAGAGAGCCAGAGTGCTGGCGGCCCGGTGGAGCGAAAGGGTCCCGAGACTTTTCGTTAGAGAAGAGTCGTAGATAGAATGTAGACGGAGCGGCAGAAACCTAATTATGTGAGCAGTACTCAAGACTAGGTCCTTGTACAGAGTTAGCAGGTGATGTGGCGAAACGTACTTCTTAGCCATAAGCAAGATGTGTTCATGAAATGCTTCTTGCTGGTCAAGGTTCAGTGCTGCGTTTTGGAAGCATTAAGCTGTACAAGATTGTTGCGTTCAATTATGATGGATAACTTGCGGCCAGAGAGGAAGTCAGTCAGTCTGCAAAGCATCTCCGGTAGGCTATAGGGTGAGTGTTTGGCCAAGAGGGTAGCAGTTTGCATAAGAGGGCGGAGGGTGGAATAAGTTCAACTATACAAACAAAATGAGAAATTCATACATGAAGTTATTCTGCAGAAGCCAGCGAGATGTAAAGCAATTCAAGTCAAAGGTTGATTGAAAGGTGCTTATAAAGTTGCACTTTTAACCTAGGATCTTTGACACAATTCTAATGAAACCCCATCCTCCAACTGTGCAACACTGTCAACCCTGATATTTCCTAGGATTATGTTTTGGCTTTTTATCTGCTTCTACCTCAAGATGTCTTCCAAGCAATGATTTGGTTCTGTTTGATGCCTCTCAAACCATAAGTAACAAAGGGCGCACATCCGGTACTGCGGATGGTCAAACTCTGAGATGGCCATTCATTTTGATTTCTGGACTGGAGTTCAGATCACCAAAGGCATTTATACAAAAACATCTCAGCCTTCAGCAGCGGTTCTCTAAAGGAATCTGTGACATATTTCAGTGCTAGGAACCACTATTCGCCATCTAGGCTCACTAAGTGCAGACAGAAACACTGTTTTACAGTTCACATAGGTAACCAGCCTGAAGAAGTTTTTCCTAATTCTCCTAGCTATAACTACGATGCTCAAAAAAATAAGAATGATAGCTTCAAGCAGTTTCACTTTGTACTTCTCCTCACCAGTTCATAAAGAATTATAATCAGCACAAGTTAGACCTTCCGACAAAAGTTAGTTACGAACATGCATAACAGAGAAATTAAACGAACCACGTCAGTCAAACAGGCCCATACAGCTAGACATTATTTCCCTGAGCTACGGTAGTATCGTCCATCTGGTAACGTCGCCCTTCTCCATACCAGATAACATGACGCGCTAGATGTGAGAACGCTGCATCGGATATTTGAAGTTTGGGAAGCTTATGATTTGTGAAATACGTCTAATAGGTCCGTAGAATTATCGGGACTGGGCGAGTATAAATATACAGACATCAAGCAATTGAGATATATCCCCCCCAACCCCTACAACCCCCAATTTTTAACCTCTACAGAAATTTTTGTGGAAACGATCAGGAGCTTCTGAAATGCTAAGAAAACTGCAGATTGAGGGATTTATATTTTTTTGTTTGTTGCCCCGTAGCTCCTCCGCCACTGGACAGGTTTTCAAAAACTACAAAACCTTTTCGTCCATCGCACAGTTAGTAGAACCCTTATGTGAAGATTTCATCCAAATTCCAAGCTATGGACGGACCAAAGATTAGTGACATGGTTTTTCGGGATGTACATCACAACAAACATAATGTCTCATTTTCGAAATATTTCGCGATTATGGCAGTTCCTCGCCAGTTAGCGTGTGAAGTAAATTATTATGTAGTTACATTATACTGTGTCCCAGAACCTTTCAACGCTTTGACGGTGTTACCTTGTAGTAAGTGAACAGACATAAACGACATTCCAGTACATCTGCATGAAATAAGGAAGTTCCTATCATGAGCTTTTTTTAAGTAGAGATAATCTTTTAACAAACGTTAAATTTGCATACATCCATCTGCTACGTCATAAAAAAATTAATTGTCTTCCGTCAAATTCTGACCACTAAGCGTACTGCTTTATCTATATCTATCATTTACTTCCTGTTGAAGCTTTGTATTAAACTGGTGCATGTCTGGTTATTAGAGAATGACTCCTTCCTAAATATATTATAGCTTTAACCGGACTAGAATGTGAATAAGAGGTTGGGACCAGTGGATTGACTCGCTATTTCCCACATACTCACATACGCACCATTCTATTTGTACAAATTTGGAAATTTTGATATGCAAATGCAATTGGCATAGCTTAGTCAGGAGATGAAAAGCTCTTGGACACCATTAAACATAAGTTTCAGAAACTTGAAACATCATGAGATACAAATTTTGGATATAAAAATTGCTGCACACAAAAAATGTTGAATATACGAGTACTATAAAATTTGGGGACAGTCGAAAGTCTAAAACTTGTTGGTCTTATCCAGTAAACACGGATATAACCTATGGATTGGTATAAAATCTGCACTAAGGCCCGTATCGTCAGTCGTGCCTACAATTGTAGGGCGCGTTTATGGCCTCCTTGTCATACTCCTTTCTCTCCTTCAAAAATTTCTAGATTACACTTGTCCCGTGTCAGCGTCAGCGCTGTCCTATTGTGAAGATATGTTTTCTTTTTAAATTATAGGAAACTTCAGGCTGATAAAACATGATATAACTCAAAAGCAAGCACAACTTGATGCAAATAGATGTTTGTGACATAACCTCAAAATGGAGAGTTCTGACACGGAGAAGTCGAAAACTATGACAATCAAGGAGGCCATAAAAGCGCCCTACAATCGTAGGGACGACTGACGATACGGGCCTAAGCGAAGCGTTAACTTGAGCTTTTTCAGAGAACGAAATTATGCACAAAATTATGGAAAAATGGTTTGGTAGTCCTTCCTATTTTTGCGAATAACATTGACACCCATACTGTAGTTCTCGGAATAACGTACAGCAGCTCAATGTCGTCAACAAAATATATAAATAAAAATGATTTTCTTTGCCTTATCGACTTGAAACATATGATGCATTTTAAAGCTTTCGCGATACAAAACTACAACGTACCTCTTGAAGCTTACTCAAAGACTTTACTAATACTTTGACTACCAAAAAGTCTTCCATTAAAGTTCAGAGTCAAAAAGTGTAAATGTTGATGTTGAAAAAATGAAATAATAAAATGACGCATTTTAGACCTAAAGCTTCTCAACTATGGTAAGGTATGGTTGACTCTTCTCCTTTTGTCGAAGCCAAACATGGGTAGTGTCAAAATTGCTTGTCTAGGTACTAAAAACCTGAGCGTATCCTAATCTTAAGACCACCTCGACAGATGACCTTGAACAGAATGCCCAAAACCGCTCAGTGTGGTGAACTCAATCAATCTGATTGACCTAGTTCCATTGATCCATATACAAGTTCCGAAAAAAACAAGCAAATGTCAGTTTATGTATCAAATATTTTCGACAAAGTCGCCCGCCACCTGCATCTTGCATCCGTAATCAACCGTGCCGAACAAAAAAAAAATTAAACATTAGACGTGTTACATAAGATCAGTTCTGCAATTTGGCGTTTGTATATAAGCTGCAGTTTATCGAGTCGCTGGTTAGTTGATATCTGATACGATTTCGGTTCAAAATGAACTTCGTAAGTAGATTTTTGGAAAATTTGCAGCGCCTGGGATACACATGGAGAGCCAAACTTCATGCTTGCAGTACAGGAGAAGGAGTCTTGCTTGGGACGACGCACCTTAGGACCATTGTTCACCTTGGTGGAAGATTGCATTTTATAGTGGATTGTGCTTGTTTTGTATTTGTTGGTGTTGGTGTGATGTGCTTGTTTTAATGATAGTTTTTATGACGGGGTAAGTGTCTTGAATAGTTTGTGTACCGGAGTTAACGAGGATTCACGTCAAGGTAATTGTCATGACTGTCGTTAAAGGAGAGTATTAATACGTTTTTCAAATATTTCTGAATTATTGTAACAGTACGGGCTTACAATTAATTAAACAGCATTAATGTAATTCATGTAAACAAATAATAACCTCAAGGGTAGGTTCCGGAGGTTGCATTGAATCAATCAAAATTTGTGTACTTACTTGCCAGCTTTTGTCTATATGGAGATCTTATATGGGAAACGATACCAACGATTAAATGCAAGAGATTCATTATTATTCATTCAATGTTAATGAATTCAGCTTTCTAGTTTTTAGAAGTTCTCCATAACAAAACTCACACCAAATAGAAAGTTGCTAGTTCATAGTAGTGTACAAAACTCTTTAACATTTTCAGCAATGTCTTGAAAGCTTCTTTCCATTGACTAATTGATTCTATGTTTGTGTAGGGCTCATGTTTATTTATATTCAATGGCTGTGTTAACTTAGTAGCTCAGAAACGCTTAAATTGGCCTAGGCATCAATAGACCATATGTCAAATTAAAAGATAAAGACTTTTGGCAACAATAATGTGTCAGAAATCTGAGAAAATATTTTAAAAGATCAGTATTGTAATATACAATAATTCTGGCTACATAATATCGTGTACAATCAGTATGTTATCAGCAAGATATCATGTGTTTTTTGTATAAACGTCATATTCTCGGAAAGATTTGGTAGTCTTTAAGTACACTTTCTGCAGTGACATGTGATGCATGCTTAATAACAAGAGTAGTTGCAGCCAATCTTAAGTTGGTCTAAGATCAGCACTCCCTCATTTTTTAACCAATAGGACAAAAATAAAAATTGTTAGGTCAATGTTACGTCGATGTGTATGTCACTAAGAGCAAGAATTATATCAAAATGGTACCGTCTAGTAATTCTAAGGCGAGTGTCACACGATCAGTATTTACTACGTTTTAGACCATCAGTATCTGCGGATAATTCCGTCTGTCTGTGGATTTCTATGTAGACTTATAAATCAATAATTACTAACGTCCGGAGTACACGATCAATAAATCTGACATTCCATGATAAATACCGACGAATCATATTAAATACTGATCGTGTAACATTTGCACAAGAATATTTTCCCATAGATACCGGAACTGTTTTTAATACTTTGCATGTATTTGCTTTATTGTCATTGCTACCATCTCATTGATGTTTCATCTCTAGGTTGATGTGACGCCTAAGCACACAATCTGTTGTTAAATGATTTTGGAATGCATCCTCAATCAAAAAAAGAAATAGTCATATTACAATATGCTGTCATAGAACCAACGCTAAAGATTCCTAGAATATAGTTTGTAAATGTAACAGAGTTTATTAGTAGGTGGGGACTAATTAAATAACAAAGAAGAAACGAAAAGGGGACATAAAATCAGTTGATCCGAAATAATGCAAAGACGTAAATATACTAAGTGACATATAAATCCGAACACCCAGTTTAAATGGTTTTATTTTAATAAAAGTTGGTGAATGTATTTATCTTACTGTAAATAACAAGTGAAAAAATTTTCAGCCTTATCAGTTGGACATTCCGGTTTTTATACTGCTTTTTTTTTATTCACTAACGCTCTAAAAATGAATATTTCAGCCACAGTAAAGAATCAACGTTGGCGGATTTTGGTTCTTGACATCCTTTACGATCGGTTACGATGCCTAGAGTACGGAGACCTGTACGATTTCGTCAACTTAGTGAGTTTGATAAGGGCCGTATAGTGGGACTTCGGGAAGCTGGGCTTTCTTTTCGAGCAATTGCAGTTAGAGAAGAAAGAAGTGTAGACACTGTGGTTAGGTGTTGTCAGGCATGGCTCCGAGAAGGCCGTACGCAAAGAGGGCACTGGACGCCGCCGTAGAACAACAGACCGTGAAGATCGCCGCCTAAGATTATTGGCCTTAAGGGACCGTTTCTCTACTACCAGGTCCATTGCAAATGAATGGTTTGCAGAACACGGAAGACCTATTGGCATGCGAAGTGTTTACCGACGAATGAGAAGTTTTGGCTTGTTTTCATACCGGCCACACTGGGTCCTCCCTTTAACTCGAGAACACCGACGTAATCGCCTTGAGTGGTGCAGACAACGGTCACTCTGGGATCAGGAATGGAACAGTATTGTCTTTAGTGACGAGTCTCGATTTTGTTTAGGCATGCACGATCGTCGTGCCAGGGTTAGAAGGCGACGTGGTGAAAGGAGGAATCCACAGTTTTTTGTTGAAAGACATGTTTATCACATTGTTGGAGTTATGGTTTGGGGTGCTATAGCTTATGGTTCCAGGTCACCTTTAATCTTCATCAGAGGTAACATGAACGCGCAGCGTTATATCCACGAAGTTCTAGAACCCCATCTTTTACCCTATCTTGACACCCTGGCAGATCCAACTTTCCAACAAGATAATGCCCGACCACATGTTGCAAGAGTCACAATAGACTTCTTTCAACATAATGATGTCACATTGTTACCATGGCCACCAAGATCTCCCGACTTATCCCCAATTGAGTACGTGTGGGATATGATGGGTAGGAGATTGCTCAATTTGCAACGTCCTCCTCAGACTCTAGAAGCACTTCGAGAGGAGTTGGTGGTTGCCTGGAATGAGATACCACAGGAGGACTTTGACGACCTGATCAGCTGCATGCCTAGGCGCGTTGGAGAATGCGTAGCACATCAGGGTGCATCCACACATTATTAAAGGTCAAAGGGCTTTAAAGCAGTGCAATCATTTTGATATTTTTATCATTTACTTATTATGCTTCAATAAGTACTTATACAAAGTTTTATTAAAATAAAACCATTTAAACTGGGTGTTCGGATTTATATGTCACTTAGTATATTCAGAAGATCCAACAAGACCCTTTCTTAACCTTTTTCTTAACGATACTTTTCCCTGTATTGTTTTAAAACGATTTTTTAATAAAAAATGGTAACTATGAAGACCAGCTCGTAATATAAATATACAATCATCCATTTTTATTTAAACGGGTAAACATTTTTTTTTTGTTCTTTGTTCCTTTTGAGTAGAAAGCTGATGCTTAGTCATTTCGTAGTTGTAAGAAAAATTATTCCATTTGAGCACTCAACACTTTTTAAACGTAATCAACTGTTACCATATCGTACGAGTTTTTAACGTTTACCTATGCTATTTTATTATTATCATAAAAAATGTGCACCAAGTAGAAAATGATGAAGAAATTTTTATTCATCAAGATATAGATCCGCGAAATAATAGCTTGATGCACAATAGTTCAGTTAAATGACATGTGATCACTAGCTAAGACGATTCAATATTGTAGTCTTGGGCATGCATCGCTTAACCATCTAAAAAAGGCAAATACACCTACAATTATCTGACTGATCTAACCAAGCTAAGTAGCATAATAAGTTCACTTAGCGTACTAGCAAGATACTGTCTAGTGTCTAGTAATATTTCATCTTGCGTTATTGTTTCAGCTAATTCTAGCCTTGACGGCAACGTTAGCGTACGCTCTACCTCAATTCTACGACTTCGACGTAGAAAAGTCCTTGCCGTTTGAACTCCACGAGCCCCTGTTCGATGCCCCGGTGGACGAGAAAAAAGACAGCAGTCAAAAAGTAAGTGGCTCCGGTAGCTTCGTTGCCAAAAAGTTCGAACCTGCTCCGGAAGCAGCCTTCAGGGAAGCCCCGAACAGTCCGAACCTCTACTACTCCCCAAGCGCTGGCAGGTACAAGCCTCTGGAAGAACTGAACCCGCTGGAAAAACCCACACCTAAGAAAAATAAGGAATCACCGAAATTCGAGGGGGCGGCGTCTAAGTTTGATGAGCCACAGTTCAAGAGCTTCGAGCCGTCTAAGTTTGACCACAGCGAGGACAGCTATAAGCCTCTAGAAGAATCTAAGAGCTTCGCGCCTAAGTTTGAGTATGATGAGTACGGATACAGCCCCAAGCAGAGCTATACAGGCAACAAGCCCAGTGAGATTCACTCTCATGCCAAGAACTCCTTGCCTAGTTACGACCATAGTTATAAACCCTTAGAGTACGCCAAGACGTACGTCCCAAAGTACGATCATAACGACTATACTCCTAAAGTGAGCAGTGACAATGATGACTATTCTTCCAGTCAAGGCCCTAAACAAAATCAAGTTCAAGTAAAGGGAGTGACGAGTGATCCCTTTGAAGGACATGAGCCCAAATCTGCTTTCGACGATGGTGAGCCCAAGAGCACGTTCGACGAAGAAGAGCCTAAAGAATCGTTCGTAGCGCCGGAATCAGGCTCAACTAAGGACGACTACGTCATTCCTGACATTCCTAAGGACGCCTTCAAGGACGCGTACAGCGGGGCAAACAAAGGGGCTTTCGAGGTGCCGAAGGCGGCTTTCGGTGAGCAGGAGAAGGACTTTGATGGCATCGACGGTTACGGGGAGTACCAAAGGGAGAGCAGTGCTCCGAAGGCGCAGCATGAGCAGATTGTGGTGAAGCAGGTGCAGAAGCCGGTGGTGGTTGCCCCTGTGGCTGCTACCACCCCGCTTGGGTATGAGCTTTCGTTTGACAAGGGCAGGAAAGTAAGTGCTGTGGGCGATATACTAACTATCTAACTTTAGTGCAGCCAATTGACATATTATTTTTACAAAGCTAACTAACTTCCACAAAAAAAAAATGGCGTCAGGTAGACTGCTCACGCTACGCAGTCATTCAGTTCGTTATGGATTATGCTCGGCCGATCCGAGAAAAAATGTAGGTAAGTCATTCGAACAGGATAAAATTACAGTAACGACTCGATGATCCGGATCAATTGGAACAAGGTGCAATCCGGACTAACGAAAAATCTGGATTAGTGGGAATCATATGGAAAACAAGACCTTGATATTTCAATCATAAAAACTGAAACATAAATTATCTACATAGCTAAAATAAACAAATAGCAAAATAAAATTCAGTTATTACAAAACTCAGTTATTTTAGTTTGAATTTTATGTTCAGAATGCAACTTAATAACAGCTTCTTCTCTTAAGTCTTTTAAGGCAAGGATTGTGGTAAGTGCAATATTGTTGTCTTCTGCCCATTAAATTTCTGCTGTAAAATGCACAATTGCCTCTTCATGTTTAACTTTTGGAACAGTAAATTGGTTTCCATTTTGTGTTTCTACGTCACTTAGTGAATTTTCAGAATAGTCATCTTGAAATTCATCTTGAAGAGTATGTTCTTCAGTTTCTACCACCAACTCCAAGATTTCCCCTTCTGTAAATTGTTCAGATGTTGCTTATTCAAGCATTATTGAAATGTTCTCAATAGTCTCCATTTGCTGCTTTATTTGTACGCGCAATGAGCTTAATGGTATTGAATCTTCCGGGTCATAATCTAAGTCTTCAGCTAACAACTTTTTCCAACACTGTTCTAAAGCAGTTTTTGACACTTTTGTCCATGCATTATGAATATAAGCAAACTGCTTCTTTTGGATTGAAGTTTTTTAAAGATTTACTAAAGTCATTGTTTTATCCTAATCTTATCGCATTTGGGCTAGGTGCGTTATCAACGACAAGTAAACATTTTTCGGGAACATCTTCGTATTTCAAGAATTCTAAAGCTTGCTTGCAAAATGATTTATGAAACCATTCTTTAAATAAATAAAAAGTCATCCATGCATTTTTACTAGGCGCATACTACACCGGTAAACTCGTGCCTCTGTTTTTAAAAGCTCTTGGATTTCTAGATTTGCCGATTACCAAAAGTTTCAATATGTGCGAACCATTTCCATTTGTACACGCCAGAACAGTTATTCTCTTCTTACTTGTTTTTCGGCCAGGAGCTGGTGCTTCCTTTAAGTTGACTAATGTTCGTTGCGGCATCAATTTCCAAAACAAACGGGAGATATTTTTTTTTGTCGATAACTACTGCTACTGAACCAATTAGAAAAACCTGAAAAGCGTAATTTCGTAGTTATGAACGAGCTAATGATCAGCAAACAGACAGATAGACAACCCACAGACGGATATGAGTGCCATGGTTTTTCATAATAACGGCAAAAGTACAATCTCAGTTGCAGAATCTTTTGTGATTACATGACTTTCTCCCAATAGCGTGGCCAGTAAAAGGCAATATTCCTTTGCAAACAGTATGCCTGCGTTTGTTTCTAATTCCAAGGTCCTCTACAACTGATAAAGTATTGCTCTTTACCTAATGAAATCAAAATAAAGGTTACTATTATGCCACCGACCAAAAAGTTTTATCGGCTTTGAAGATCGATCCAGTGACAGCGGTGCTGCGAGCAAAAAAAGTCGCTAAAACTTCGTTTTCCGACATTTCGTAAGCCATTGTTCGTTTTTAAGAATCTTTCTGAGGGGCCAAAAATTTTGGGTGGAGGCGGCAGGGAGTAGGAGAGGGCACATCTCACTTTTTGTCGTTAGTGTATATCTTTAATTCGGAAATTCTACTACTACTTCTGTGCAGAACATTGTAAATATTATATGATCTGATGTTAGCGGTGCGTGGGAAGTAATCTACTTGACGTCATTTTTTCATACTGTGGAGCAACCGCGAGGGCTAAGTTGAAAATGTCGAAGTACATCGATTTTATAGATAAATACGTAAATTCCTGTAGTCATACCGACGATGTGTCGACGAGGAGCAACACATCGTAAGATCTGTGTGATGATTTTAGGGCCAACGGCGTCAGTGACAGTCGCGCCACCGTTGGTAATTTATCTTCATCAGAAGATTCTTCTTCAGAAGCTTCTTCAATCGAAGGACTGCTTAGCACATCAGCGGAATCTCCCCAGATCCCGCATTGCACACCAGCAGAGATTCAAGTTCATATTAAAGACCTTAAAGTGCGTAAAGCACCTGGGGAGGATCAAATCACTAATAAGTCGCTGAAGCTTCTTTTGCAGAAATCCTTAACTTATCTCGTGTCAATAGTCAATGCCATGCTAAGGACCAGTACTTCCCATGCGTCTAAGCTCGCTGAAAAGGTGATTCTACGTCAGAGATTTTTTCGTCAGATCACCATGTGATTCCTGACGTGCAATTCGGTTTTCGGTCTAAACATAGTACGGAGCTACAGGCGGTTAGGCTGGTGGAACGAGTAACCAGAGGATTCACCCTTAACGAAAGTACTGCCATCTTGCTTTTGGATGTGTCAAAAGCATTTGACAAGGTGTGGCACGCGGGCCTCCTGTATAAGCTAATCTAAAAGGGCTTCCCTTTCTGGGCTTCTAAAACTACTGGAATCCTTCCTTGAAGGTTAGAAATATCGGATCAATGACAGTGTCCTGTCTACAACACGGCTGATTACAGCCGGCATCCCTCAGGGTTCGATCCTTGGACCTATCCTTTACTCACTTTACACACTACCTAGTCCGTGACAGGCTGCAAAGTTCAGTGGAGGAAGTATTAGATCGGGCTGATCGGTGGGTAATTAAAATTAACCATTCGAAAACGTAGGCAATCTACTGTACAAAAAGACGTCGCGGCGTCCGTTTGAAGTTTCAATGAATGGACTTCGTATACCATGGGAATCCTCGTATCTCGGTGTCACTCTGGATAAAGGAACGACTTGGCGGAATCATATGGAAGCGCTAAAAACTAAATTCCAAATTATGTTTCGACAGCTTTATCTATTATTATGTAAACGTTCAAAATTGAGTTTGATTAACAAGATTCGACTCTATAAGGTGGTCATAAGACCAGCAATGACTAACGCATGTGCGGCTTGGTGTTTTATTGCCAAAACACACATGCGTAATCTGCAGGTTCTGCAAAAGCAAGACGTTGCGCACTATTGCTGACGCCCCATGGTATGTGTCTAACGAAACTCTGCATAGAGACCTCGATGTCCCTTATCTAAAGAACTACATTAAGCAATAGGCGCAGCGGCGCTATAGCCTAGCGGAATCGCACGGTAATCCTCTGTTGCGCCAGTCAGTGGACTACACGGTCGAGCAAGTTCGCAAGCACAAAAGGCCGCAGCTCGCACTGTAATCAAAATTAATTCGTGAACTTAGAATAACCAAAATTGGAGCACTTTGACAAAATGTTTAGAAAAAATTGAATATTTTCAGACCATATCAAAATCTGTGAAGTGATGTTAACAATGCCTAAACGCTGCCTATCCTAAAAGATTCTCTTCTTCCCCTTTGCTCTCTTTCTTCGTTCTCTCCTTTCCTTCCCCTTTTTCCTTAAAATTGTCTGGTTTCTGGGTTACCAGACCTGACAGACTTACAAACTGACACTGTAACTCAGGAGCTAAGATCCCATGGACCGCTCTGACAACCAACGATGACTTGACCGATGATGTGTCGACTTCAAAAATGCCTACTTTTCAGCGGTACAGTGTTCTTTTCACGCTGCAATAGCCTCAAATTTAAATCATGTATCCTGTAGTCCCGCGGCTGCTATAAAGACGTTAAATAGGGCTTGTTGATATGAGGTTAGAACCAGCTAAGTTCAGGAAAAGCGTATTTCGGTCAAACCATTTTCTCACTAATTTGAAGTCATACTACCCGCAACAAATTATTTCCTCCCAAACCTTAATGATCTATTAAAACTCCATCCGCACTTGGGTGCTTCGTATTAGCTGGGGTACGATACCAAGTTTCACAACCTTTTAACAGTAGCATGTTCCTGGATTCTCAAGTATAGGTAGCATTTTCAGTCGATATTACACTTTTTGAATACAACCCATCTTTGCAGCTTGGCAGTCTGGATAACCGCACGTTATTTGAGATGTAACAGATCGACTTATCGTAACCGTGGTTATGAATGCTTAAGAGAAGCAAAGTTAAAGCAAAGACCGAACCCTGCGGAACACCCACGCTGGTATAACCCATCCCCACCAGAAGCCTCAAAACGATTAGTCGTATCTCGACTTTCTGGTTCTACTAAGCACTTAACTGTATTTAAAGATTTTATTTCAATTGTTTTGCACCATGGAAGCTTTAAAGATATATAAAATTGTTTATCAGCTGCACTACATGGGCCCAGAAACTACTCTAACGCTAAACAAGAAGTAGAGACTGTCGTCTTCCACTATACAACATAGCTTTCGACTTATAGTAATTTAGTAAATTACATTGGTTCCCGTATGATCTGATTTAAGATCGTACAATTTTCTCTAAGGGAACTAAAGACCTATTAAACAATAGCTTTGACCAGAATCACTTCTTTCGTTCAGTTATCTCATGAAATTGATACATCTCTCTAGGCTATGTCAAAATCTTCAAGAATTTAATTAACAGTCTGAGTGATTCCTCTCAAAATGTAATTACTGTTAATCAAGCTTGAAACCTCAGTAATTTTATGCATTTTTGTTACTCGTTTAAGTTCAAGTTCGGATTGGCAAATCATGACCACAGTTATGTGGTTTATTTGGTTTGCATTTTCTATGGTTATTTTCTCTTAGTAAACAACCACTGTAAAAGTTTCAACAAAAATATCGGCGAATTTGTTTTGGGAAATCTTGATCTACGAGTATTCAACTCCAATCATTTTGAAACAATAATTGAACCATTGGCCAGATAGATACTTCTCTATTCATGGTTTTCTTATCACATAAGCCTTGGACTATACGATTTTATAACTTTTGATGCAAAAAAACGCTCATATGGGTTCTAGATCCAAACAATAATGATCATACTAAATAGCTTACGATTAAAAAGATGCTACACGGTCCCTTCCAGAAATTCGCGATTTTCTGTGGTCGCTGTAACTCATTTGAGCCTAGTTTGGATTAAAATTCTTAGAAGTATTTGAAATGCAGAATATACAGTACTTTTCGAAAAGGTCCAAGCTACTTATTTCTTGAAGGGGCAACGAAATTGCATACTATATATTGGCGGAATAGTGACAGCTGAAAATTTCACTATGGCAGCTGGGCACCATTTTGGAGCATTTCTATAAATAAATGAGTTAATCCTAGAATAAAAAAGAACTGTCTTTCAAAAACGGTGAACTTGGCAGGCTTTCAAAGTTGAGCGTATCTGTACATTGAGTGGAATATAACCCTACAATAAATCATCAAAGAAAAACGCTATGGCATGTAATATCAATCTTCTCCTTTTGGAAGGGTATATTTATCTGAATGTGCGATAAGATATGAAACGTTAAAACCTTTTGATGATTAGCCTGAGTTACAAGCAATTCAATGTATAAAAACGCTCAACTGCCAGCCCGTCATTTTGAAAAATAGTGGTTCTATATTCTAGGGTTCTAAAGTAAGGTATAATGTGTCCCCCTATTCCATTTAGAAATGTAACAAGATGGCAACCAGCCACTATCTCAAGATTTTCGTTACAATATATTATCATGTATCAATTTCATTCTTCTGAACTTCAGCTTGCTAACTTGACCGATTCAAAATATTCGTAACAGTACTGAATATGTCATTATACTGAGATAATCGAAAAACTAAAACAGTAACAAGCATGTCCCCAATAATGTATTTAAACCAAAACATACTAACTTGTACAGTGCGGAAGCTCTGCAGCTTGACAAGCTTTGCTTATGCTATCTAACATTTTTATTACAGAAAGTACCTGCCTTCATCATTATCGTCACCACCACCGACGAAACAGAGGATTGAACACATATCTTTACTAATTTCTGAAATACATATTTTCTAACATAGACAGTTTATTTTGTTTCATGTGCCTTGGAGAGAGATACATAGCGCGGCGCAGGGTTTATCTGAATATTCAATTATTTAGTTATCTCTATCTTCATTCTTCAAAAATGATATAGAGGTACGATCACAGAGGATACTCTGAAATATAGAAAGAACGGTGAAAATAATCAAAAGATGTCCTGGCAGCTAGCGTTGTGCATTTCCTCTGCTTTTGTGAAGCATAGACTCAGTCTAATGAGGTGACAACCAAGTCCAGCAAGCCATATCAAAAAATTGCTAGCTACGGATTCAATCTTACTCTCTAAGGAAGATATTCAACTTCGTCGGCAGTCACGCAATATGTCTGACTGATTGCTAAGACAACTTTTATATATCAGAAGCAGCTGTAGTCGTAAGGACTTTCCAATAGATAGCGTTCATGGTTTAATCATAAGCTGTGGAGGCAATTTCGGTATGGAGTGCTATGAAGTCAAGGAAAGCTGAATTTATATGGAGTGTTCCAAATTCTCGATATCCTGGGTACAAAGGAATACTCACACAATTCAGTTGATGCGGGATCTCCCAGCTGCTGAATAATGGTGCCGAGTCCGAGAGAGTTTCCAATGTCAGAATTTGCCATTTTTGTTAAAAGAGATATGGCTGCAAACGAAGTCGGCAGCCACGGAAACAGGCATCCGCTGGGATGGCAGTACATAGTAGGGGAATTAAATCGACCGTCTCGCACACATTAGGCAAAAAGAGAAATATCATCGAACTGATAGTAGCATATTAAAGGGCTGATCTCTATGCGAAATCAGTGTTATGTAAACTCAACTGCCAAAACCCGTAGCTGATGTCGGAAGCGTTACTCCGCGGTTCCGAAATCCCGCTTCTCTTGAGCAAGTAAGTCAGTAAGACCATCAAAAACCTAAGTTAGGTTCACCCAGACTTCTTGAAGGAACCTTTATTGAAATAGAATCTTCTGGTACGCCCTGCCAAAGATTTTGGATCCAACAACTGCTGAAAGACGCCAGAGATCCAGTAGAACGTAGAAGCTGCTTTGTGAAAAATCTCTTCATGCTCTATATAATTTTTTGTATCTGTATTTAGGAAAGTGTTGTCTCAAGGTTTACAGCTAAATGGCATTCGATTTCAACACGTCAAATTGAATGTAAAGGTTCCTAAAGATAAGGGGATCATGGTCATCCGTCTCTTTCATACTACTCGCCGCTGAAATAACCTTCAGGGTATTCAGTATTGAACAAGTAAAGCCGTAGCTCAACAAAATGAAATCACTAAGAATGATTGTAACAAAACTACTGCAGACTATGCTATCCTGCTCTTCAGCTGGAGTAGTATGACGAACAATGCAGAAATGAGGAAGAAAGAAAACAGTTGAGTCTAGAAAAGAAGAATTCATTGGGTTACAGTATATTATTTCACTTTCCACGTCCATAGACAACACATTGTAAATAATAAATTCAAAAAATATATATTCATTCTTTCCGTCAGTATCACATGTCACTTGTTCTAAAATAACTACCATTTCTACCACGGGAAGCAGCTAGCCTTCACTGACACCTTACCAAGCACATGTCTTGCAGGAGGATGTCTACAAGTCCATCTACGACAAACCAGTGGAGAGAGAGCAAGAATCTAAGAGAAAGGTGAAGCACAAGCAGGAGACCAGAGAAGACATTGAGCACGAGGAGGAGTCCAGGCAGGAGTTTAAACAGCAGAATGACCACCGGGCCCTGACTGGAGGTCAAGGATCCCATGCTGATATCTCAGATCACAGTTTGTTTGGAGGAAATGATCACAGCAAAGGGCATGAAAACAATGGTGCTCATAGCAACAATCATGAGTACCATTCTGGAGGTAATGGCTAACAAATTTACTGTTCATGCTCATACCTGTAAATTTGAAGGATATTTTCAAAACATGGGGCCAAAATTCAAGGGGCTTTTTTGGGACTATCTCAAAAGCGTTTGGTACTTTAACGATTTTTGAAAAAACACTGTGCTTGACCACTAAAGGATACCACTGAAAATCGTTTTTTTAAATAAGATTTGAATGTTGATGGCATAGTGATGCTGCCTGTGAAAAACAATGAACTCATTTAGATTGAAAGGGAGCGGCTAGCTCTACCCTAATATTGCTAATTTTTCCAAACAATAACGGCTCAAAAATCATCATCTTTTGGCTGAAATGATATAGGTATTCTTGTCCAATTTTCACGATATGAACTGCTTCTTAAAAACCGCTCTGCTCCAATATCGTCTTACCGCTGCCAATTTATAAAAAGTTGGACAAAAGCCGAGTAAGCTTAGTTGAATAATTTGAAAATTTATATCCGAGGTAGTTGATTACAGATCTGTTATCAAGACTACTATATTAACAAAATTATGGTGGCAGTATTTACCTGAGACAAAACTTTCGACATCACCGGCGAAGTATTGACATCAATCTAAATAAGCTAATTGTCTTTATGGACCTCACCTTGACTGAAAATTTCGCTGGATTCAGAAATTTTTTGAGCAAAATGATTTCCCTTATCGTCCCTCAGGAGTCTATAAGCCCGAAACGAAACAGTATAAAAATATTCCTATGAATTTCTCCTTAAGAGGGTGCCCAATGCTTTGAAAATCCTTTTTCCTTTAAGTAATATCAACATCTCATAACTAAGAATGTATTCACTTTTGTGTCTCAATCCTTTTCACCTTCCAGCGCTCGGCTTGGAGCATCTCAGCCACGGTCACGGCCAAAATCATGGTCGCAGCCACGGGAGCCATGCTAATCTAGGAAGCCACATCGGTCACCATGGCAGCCATATCGGTCACCACGGCAGCCACAGCGGTCACCATGGAAGCCACAGTGGACATCACGGAAGTCACGGGAACCTGGGCAGCAGTCACCACAGCAGCGGCATTGGAAGCCATGGCTCTCACTCCCATCACCACCCGCAGGCGACGAACAATAATGATTATGATACCAGCAGCAGTGAAGGGGGGTCCCATGAGAGCAGTTATGAGATCGGTAATGATGCTCAACAGAACAAGGTATATTTTTGTCTGTTTCTTCAAGTTCACAACATCCAAATAAGATCCAACCGCGAGTACTGCTCACATGTTTGGGGTGCTTCAACCCCGACAACGTCATTCATATATATCTCCAACGGACAGTCTCAGTACTCTCTAATAGATAGGCGGACAGCAATCTGACTTTCTTTTGTCGCTAACTTGTTTGAACTTTGTTGGTGTCGAGATTGTGGAACGCCTGCCTGAAGAGACTTTTTCCAATTTTGTAAACTTTAGGATTAACAGCGAGGACGCCCTGGTTTTTAGGTTAGCCTAGGCGCCTATATCAGGATAAAAAAGGTACTCAGATAATTTAAAAATCATGGCAAGCATGAATTTGTCAGCTTGTCAGCGCCTAATAATCTCAACTGACGATTCAATTATGCTACACAGCCACGAATTCACGCTTCTTTTGCCTTTGATATTGTCCTGCATTACGTTTCCTACCAGGTCACATTTTTCTTCCTCGTTGGACTGGGTTTCTGTTATGTTCGCCACCGGGAATAATTTTTCTTATGGGGATTTGGAGGGCCATCCATTTGCAAGAGATAACTTTGTGTGAAGGCATTCCTGTCTCAAAAACTTTTTGAAGAGCGAGGGGTAGCATATTTCGCTAAATATGCAAATTTTAATTGTATGAGCCTGTTTGACTAACTTGATCTATTTAGCTTTTTTCTCAGAGTGGCCAACTTGTGCCCAACAATCTTTTATGAACTCATGAAAGCATTTCATAAGAGCTGCTAGACACCCTACTTGAGTATATGAAACTCTTCTCATACATCTCCGAAAATTATTTTTCAAGCTCAGTTGCACAAATTCGCATTACATCCTTATGTCGTTTCTCTCGTTTCAGGATGAGCCTGCGAACATAAACACCTTCTACGACCCCGAGAACCCCTTGAATCACAAAGTGGAGTCGCGCAAGGAATACAAAAGGGGTGACCACGTAATTGGGGAGTACACCGCCAAGGGGTCCGACGGGGTCTACAGGAAAGTGAAGTACCAATCGGGACCCCATACCGGATTCGAGACTGTCTACAACGTGCAGGCCGTGGCCGCCCCTAGAGGCGGCACGTAGCTACTTGCATGTGTGTGATCTTTGTTGTTAAGTTTTAACATTTTTTTAATACAAACGGTAAAAAGTCTTCTTTGTCTTGTTTTATTTTCAGCTCCTTAAAGAGTTGTTATTCACTAATCCAGCCAAAAGAATGGCGTGTTTTCAAAATCATTATTTTGACGAAATATTAAAAGTTGAGTTTCAGAAGGTGTAATGAGTGTTTTTTTTCTATGAACGGGAAGTGACATAACCTTCCCTCCAAAGTTCACAAAGAAAGATTTTGTGTCAAATATGTGATATATTTCTAGCGTTTTGACACGCCATGCCCTTGAAGTGTGGTCCTACTTCAAATACGTTTTTCCCAGCACATGAGTGTTAAAATAAAATTTAAGTACATCGTCCTAAAAAAATGCGTGTCATCAGTCTCTTCCTCTCTCACTCAGATATTAGACAGTTTTTTGTGCAACAAACATAACGAATCGCTAAGTCTTTCGTTACGTTATTTTTGAGAGAGGCAGCGATTACGGATGCTTGGGAAACAAGAGTTTTATGTTCAAAGTGAACACTAGTAATTTCACAGTGCTGACTACCAACAGACATGAGATACGTTACATATCTTTTTTAAATTTTGAAGTGAGGCTAATCCCAAATTTCCAAAATTTTGTCAATTGTATAGGGAATTATTCTTGATGATCGTTACTTAAAGGGTTTTCCATTAAAGACTTGACAACTTCCTTTTTAAATAAAACGCAAACCATTTTCACCTCGTTCATATGTCCACCACGGGCACGCTCGCAGCGATCGATTTTCAATGACTCGGCCACACATTTCGACAGAAGTGGCCCCTATCTCCCCTTCAATATTGGCTCTGAGCTTTTCTAACGACGCCGGCTTGTTGGAATAGACCAGTGATTTAATGTAGCCCCACAAAGAAAAACTATAGAGGTGTTAAATTACACGGTCTAGGCGGCCATTCGACAGGACCATTTCTCGATATAACACGTTCACAGAATTTTGATTTCAATATGTCGATTGTTTCATCAGATGTGTGGCTTGTGGCACCGTCTTGTTGAAACCACATATCATTAATGTCTAGCCCATCCAATTGACCAAAAAATAACGTTGCAACATGTTCCTGTAGCGATCTCAGTGGATGAAGTGGTGTTTTTTAAAGCACATGAGGGTTTTCACCTGACCAATAACGCATATTCTGTTTGTTAACGAAGTCGTTTAGCCAAAAATGCGCCTCATCACTGAAGATGATTTTGCGATGAATTTAGTCATTTTCTTGCAATATTTCTAGAGCCCAACGCCCAACGTACTTTGGTCCATATGATCGAACGGCTTTAGCTCTAAGTTAACTTGATCTTGTAAGGGTGCAGCCCGAGATCCCTTCGCAACATTCGCTATAGTGTGGTCTGAGCGATGCCAAATTCTTGAGAACGCCGTGGAATTGACATGTTTTGTTCGTTTGCGATGGAAGCTTGAACGGCAGCAAAATTCTCGGCACTTCGACCAACCCGTTGTCTCACTGGCTGCGAATATGTAACCTCAAATTTTTCACTAGACTATGAATTGCTTGTCTACTGGGACGAGAATTACGACCAAAAATTGGCGATAACGCTCTTAAATTTACATTCACCCACTCGGAATTTCGGTTGTAAATTTTAATTATTTCTAAGCGTTGCTCGTTCGTGTACTTCGTGAAAATGTTTTCTTTACCTAATGTTTTGACATTGACAGTTCGGTAATTGATTTAAAGGTGCGTTCACAGTGCAAGTTCAAAGTTAACAAGTCCCTATTGGAAAACCCGGTATATAAATTTCTTGTAATTAAATAGATCTGGGGTTTAAAGAAACAGAGTTTCCTGTTACAAGGTTGCCGACGTTCCGGAAAAATTTCTTCCTTTTTTTTAGGGCCCCTGAAGACTGTGGTTGTGCACATGTTAGATATTATTATTTAGACTGCAACTTATCAATATGACAATAAAAAGCTGTTACGGCGTTTGCTCCTTTGTTCCAAAGCGCCAAAGCTCTCATTTTCAATAAATCCTTGGTAATCCTCAGCTTTGCAGGTGGAATATTCGACTAAAAACGTTCTCCCTTTTCGAGTACCCCACCTCCCACGAATTAAAAATTCATACCCATGCAGAGCATCAATCGTGCGGCATGCGTTCATCTCGATCGCGATGTGATTTATCCCCTAATCTTCGTTACCTTATTGTAATATTCTCAGGCAGCATGCAGGATGACAAATCGGTGGCATTAAAGGCCCTACGACGTGACGTGCTATCAGCCACCTACGGCTGCTAGTTACCAGCGCTCTTTGGCAGATGAGTGTCGATCGCTTCTTCCATATGAGTATACAGAGTGTCCCAAACCCAACTAGCAACGGGCTACGACCTAAGTTACCTATATTTGTCAAATCTCAAACGTTGAATTGTATTGAGAGATGAATCTTTTGTTAAAAATTGGTAACTACTTACTGAACTAGGGCCCTAATATACCTTTGACCAAGAGGTTAAATTGGTTGGTTTTGAGCTACAAAAAAGTACGTAAAAAATTCCTGAACTCGAAAACAGATCCAGAGATTATAGAATATCTAATATTAACCTTTTTCCGGCAGTATGGTAAGTAAAGACAAATAAAAAGTTCTTGTACGTTTGCAACATACATAAAAAACAAGTTGATATGTCCACTAAATAGCCATATTGAATACCTTGAGGTCACAATGACTCTTTTAGTAAACGTTCGTTTAGATTCCGACATTAAGACTAACTTTAAAAATAGCCTTTTATGGAAATTTGGTTGCCCCTTCCCCCTTAATGATCTTTGATGGCTGTGTTGTTCTCGGTTCTTTTAATTTGCAGCGTTCATGCTAGTCATTAAATATACTCAGAGATAAGTGAAAATTTAAAAAGGAAGGGGCCTGAGGTTTATATGCATACCCCACAATATTACCGGATTATTAAAAGAAAGGTGCGTTCCGCTCAACATTCAGACTGTGTGATACAGAACGAATTTTTAAAGTGGTATTTTCTCCTTTGTGATACGTTTCAGAACCCCTTTGAGGAAACAGGCCGAATGCGGGATTTTAAGAAACCACACTGTATAATAGCGTATAAGCCATCACCAAACGATACTAACAAACGCACCCTCATACGTCCATCTCTCTCCCTCTGGATTAGGTATACGAGCCCCTTCCGACTTCAGTTGGCCCAACTATTGAAATCTTAGTTTTTTCTTATCAAACACAAATAATAAAAATGTAGCAGGGCGTTACAGGTTTAAAATATTAACAATGATTTTTTGATAATATATAGTAGAAAACACCACCTATGCATTATAGACTTATTTTGCATTGAAATGAAAATAATATGCTGTAATTGCAACATGTGTTTTTTGTGCTGCGAATTTGATTAGGGAGTGATAAAAGCCATGACAATTGTTTTTATTAATCACAGCTCTCAGAATACGTTTAAAATAGTTTTGGGTAGTTAAGGTTTTCAAAATGGGTAGAGGAAAGGTTATTAGAGAGAAAATTCGGTTACTGATAATTAAATTCTTTAATTCTGGGAAATCAAACTCAGAAATTGCAACTTTGTTCGACTTTTATCGCGGTACAGTGTGAGAAATATTGTTAGAAGATATAACGTTCAGTTAATATTAAGCCACGATATGTGAAAAAAAGTAACATCACAAATGTCGACCGAAGAGCATTAAGAAGAATAATCGTGAAAAACAGGCGTGCCAATTATTTACAATTAAGTGTTCTGTGGAGTGACGCTGTTGGAAGGAGAATTTCAAGGTGCACAACTCATAGAGATGCCCACAAACTGGGATTTAGCACTTCCAAGGTAAGTTTTCTTATAAAAAAAAGTGAAGTAAAAACCCTAAAATTGCACAACTTGTTTATAGGCCAAGGAAAAGACACTATTAACTCCACTGCAAAATAAAAATCGGCTTAGATGGGCTAAAGAACGTAGACAATGGACACCTCAACAATGGTGTGCAATACAATGGAGTGATGAGGCCCGATTCGAAGTTTGTGTTGGTGACAGTCGCAGTAGAGTTGTTCGCAAAAAAATGAAGCATTCCATGTTGACTGTCTGAAGATAAAAGTGAAATTTCCAGCATCCATTATGGTCTGGGGCAGTATGTCATCAAAAGGAGCAGGAAAACTTCATTTTATTGATGGAAATGTGGATACAAACAAATATTTGGCAATTTTAGAAGAATCGCTTTTACCAGTGATGGAAGAATGTTTGACGTCCGGCCAAGATTTTGTGTTTCAGCAAGATGGTGCAGCGTGCCATACCTCAAAAAGGCTATAAAATGGATGGAATAAAATAATGTACCACTTTTGAAATGGGTTCCTAGCAGTCCAGATCTGTCACCTACTGAAACTTTGTGGCACAAGATGAAAAAGGTTCTACGACAACATCCTGCTCGTACAATCACCGAACTGAGACAAAAGCTTCAAGAAATATGGGATTGTTTTACATCAAATTTTTGCCAAAACTTGGTTAACACTATGCCCCAAAGAATATCAGCCGTAATAAAAAATGAAGGTGATGTTACCCAATGGTAATCTTTCAATTGTTGCTTTGTTAACTTTGTGCATTTATTCGCACATTGTTTATTTGTTCAGATGTTCTATTAGTTATAGGTCTAAGTGATTTCAAATATGTATTTTTTACGACTAGAGTGTATCTAAAATGTTTTTGAGAAAATAAATTGTTTTAGAAGTAAATAGTTTCGTCATGTTTAGTTTATAAAGGCATATTTTGGTACAAATCTTGAAGTGGGCCAACTGAAGTGGGAAGGGGCTGGTAGACATGTAAAGAGAGAGAATGATAGCTGCCAGGATTTTTTTCCTATCGCGTATACATAATACGAAGTAGGATTGTAGTATAATTTATACACATCTCGTTAGCTACGAGAAACTATTAAATCAATTTGAAAAGGTTTCTAAATTATTTGTCCAAAAATAAAAGCCGGTACCTAGTTTCACCTTCAATTGAAATTTAACCGCTAAGCAATTATTAGGTCTGAAATAGGGTAAACTCAAATACAAA